TCAATGTTTTAGAGCCTCCCATCAGAGCCATTAATAATAATATTAATATTAATAATTGACCGCAAATATAGTTTTTAGCTCATAGGAGCTAAAAACTAATTTATTTTAGTTCTCAAATATGCATATTCTTTACGTTGATTTATTTATTAAATTTTTGCTACAGGGTATTTTACAGCATTTATTTATTATTCATTTTTTTTTCTTGAATTTTATAATTGAATTTTATAATTGAGGGCCATTTTTTATTTCTTGATTCAATTCTTGCTTATACAGTATTTAAATATTAAAAAAAAATAATATCAAAATATATCATTTCTATTACCGAATTTTTCATTGGGGCCATTTTTACCTACCTGTAATATGGGGCCATTTTTACCGGGGCCATTATTTCCGGGGCCATTTTTTCCGGGGCCATTTTTTCTGGGGCCATTTTTTCCAGGGCCATTCTTACCTACATTCGCCATTTACGTAATATGGCCCTGTATGTGGGATAATACTGTAGCATGAAAAAAGTGGCCTCTGAATTAATTTAGATATTTTTTTAAAGCTATATGAGAAAAATCTCCATACAATCTGCCCAGGATCTGAATGCATAATGTGCAAACAAGATCAAGAATTTGAAGTCTTTGGCCTTAGACAGGGCAAAAGAAGATAGACAGGGCAAAAGAAGAGAGACAGGTAATAGACTTTCTCAACTAATTTTACATCTGCTCTATGTAACATACAAACAATTCTGTGGCACAATTATGAGGGACCTAAGTGTACTTAATGCAAGTAGAGAGTATGGTTGTAGCAGTACTTCCATCTGTAAATTTGTATATAGGATCTGTGTGTAAATAATACCTTGCATTTTTAACTAATATCCCAACTTCATGGGTTATACACCAAGCTTAGGAAGGTCATTTACCTTAAGGTCATTTGCCCTAATTCAAGTGACCACACATCATTTGGGAATGTTGATGAGTTTCCCAGGTACTAGACAAGGACAGGCAATTACTAATCCTTATTGGTCAGATGGTATGAAAGGTGATGCTATATCACATACATTTGTACTTTTACAGACATTCCTCAGTTTGTCCTCCCTGAGTACACATTACTTTCACTTTCTATCAATTTCTATATATCATCAACTTGTTTCTCAAGTGTTTTTGTAAATACGCTTTTCACTTGGAATAAGTTGTACAGTTCTACATACAAATTAGTGTGGTGTATAACAGTATTTTTATCATCTCATCGTACACTTACACTAAATGATGAAACTTGCATTTGAAACTGTGAAATGGATTCATACATGTGTAGGATTATAACAAATATATGGTTAATGGAAAAAATAGTTTTCCGTTTATAAAGCGCAAAATAGACTCTATAGCACTACAAAAGGCAAGTGTAATATGGAACCACAAAAAAAAAAAAAAAAAATAAGGTGAAAGTTGGAATTCATGCCAGCACCCAAACCGGAGTATGATGATACGCCTTTTCGCTAATTAAGTTTGATCCAACCTCAGGTCAGCACCAGTCGTGTCTTGGCCATCACAGACTCAGGCGCCTCCTACACTCTAGTAAAGCTAAAGAAAAAATTAGCTGGCATGAAAAAATAAATATAAAACACTTTTTTTTTCATTAGAGACAACTGATATCATTGATTGATGATAGGAAAAGAAGAGTTCCCCGGAGCCAGCTGACGGTTTTGTTGTAAGGGTTCGTACCCACAGTAGTGTCAGGACCAGGAGGTTTAAAAAGTATATACAGATTAAGGTATATTTGTTTTCATACATAAAGTAGACCAGATTTTTGCATTTTCTGGTCCTAAGAGAGAAATGTCTCCCTAGCTACATTATTAAAATATTAGACACAGTATTAAGTTTTCATAGCAATTAAATTAAAGCATATAGTGCTCATACTAGAATACAAAGTGACAAAAGCCAATCTCAGTAGGGGCTGACCAGCAGGAATTCTCTAGCCTAACACACTTATGTATCACTCTTATGAATACATTAATTTTTTTTATAGACCCTTTTAGACTTTGTTGGATCAGACGATGGTGCAAGTAGGGAATTCAAATTGTTATTTCCAGAAGGAAAGGTGACCAAATCTTGGACTGCACATGGAACACTTGCAGAAAATGGGATTTTGAGTTCTGCAGTTATTAATGTTTTGTGGCTTGTAAGTAAGAGCATGTCTGGTTTTTGTGAGAGCCAACATACAACTTTCTTTAGTCAGCCTTACAAAATCAATATAACATCAACTATGGCAATTAATTTGGAAAAAGAGCTCTAAAATGTTCATGTCATAGTGGAATTATCTATGACATGCTATGCATAACTGTACTGTATATTAAGGGACCCTTACATTATTGTTGTCAGTTATTGTTGGACTCTACCCGTATGTTATTAGGCACAAGTCTACTATTGTTATTGTTGGGTTTTGCCATAACACAGAGTGAGCTTAATTGATAAAGCATAAAATCATGCTTCAATGATATCTTGTATATTATACTCCAATTTTCTGACCGCAAGAAATTCTGAGTCTACAGGCAATTGTATTGATTACTACCCAAACTATTAATCACTTTAATCTACAGATTCTAATGATGTATCACATATTAAAGGCTTGATCACCTAATGTTTTGAATAATAATTTGAGGATTCTTACATTTTATGAAAGCTATGCGACTTTTCTCAACATGACTTCTTGCACTCATGCACACATACTATTAAAATTAAATCTACTTTTTCTACTTATCACCAGCTGATGATGAAGAACCACCTTAATCCAGATACAACTGAACTGGACATGTGGGATGATGGTATGGTTGATCTAAGGCATGAAGATATAACAGTGATGAGGGATGACATGACCGAGACAAGAGATGAGGCAGACATCCCTCCTAATGGAAGTAGCCATGAGGCTGCTCAACTTAAGTCAAATACATTAATACAGGAATTGATATTGATATTAATATTGATATTGGTTCTGATGGCATTATGTGATGCAAACTATTGTTTCACCTGGTTAAGTATGGGGGTAGAAGGCCATGAAAATGATGCATCAATATTCGGTCGTTCTGCCTTGAGCAAAAGAATGGAAGCAGGCTCTCTGAATGTGCCACCACCAGCTGATGTATGTGGGGTAAAATTGCCACATGTCATATTAGGTGATGCCATCTTCCCTTCAAGTTCGTGGCCCATGAAGCCATTCGGTGAAAACAATCAGACATTACAATTTACGTTTTTTAACAACTTATTCAAAAACTAAATCATTATTTCCTTTCATTATTTTTTTTTGGACCATCTCCGATCTGCCTTTTATTTCTGATTGTAACCAAGAACAAAATTTTGCAATCCGGTCCTGCGATTCTTATGGTTTGTTAATGAAAACGATCACAGCCTGCTCATATTTACTGGAAATGGGCTGACATGCTTCCTTCTGCAAATGAAAAGACATTAGAGGGAACAATAATCAACTTATGTTTGTAGGTAGAGTAGGAAATTATGTTGTATAGTAGTTTCAGACGAACCACCCCCCCCCCCCCCCAACCACATCCTATGCAATAACTTGTTGGATATTGATGTTTAGGTAAACCCAATAGTACAGTATAACATTATCAAATTAAAGGTACAAAAAGGCAGTGAACTACAAACGTTGCATGTAATATGAGCCATAAACGAACGAGTAATTTTTAAACGCATTGATACTCCAGCATAAAGCTCAACATAAATAGAAGTACATTACATTACATTAATTCACATCACAAAAAATACATTCTTTTTACAAACCTTTGCAGCTTTCTTTTCCTTCTTTGACCAGAATTTCTTTCTTTCTAAAATGAAATATGATGTATGGTATTATTGAAACAGTAAATTATAAAGATGGCATGTTTGCTTAAATGAGTAAAAAATAGTGTTATTTTCTTGTAATTTAATTGTATAACACTAGAAAAAGGAACAAAAATTAAATCTGAAGATTAAATTTAAAAGAAGGAATGGATTAATTATGTTGTGCAACTGACCTTCAATGTTTTCTCTATCTGCTACTTTTCTCTTCTTAGAAACAAGTTCAGGTTATTGTGGGGAAACTTGTGCTTGTACTGGAGTTTCAAAGTCCTCCCCATCTTGATGTAACATTAAATAGAAAAACATTCACAATAGATCACTTTATAAATATTCCAAATTAAAATAAGTATGAAAATTGAAATTATAAACTCAAAAGAAAAAGCATTTCCTTATCAGGCAATC